AACACACACACACAAACACACACACACAAACACGCACACACACATACAAACACATACACACACTAATACACACACAAACACGCACATATACACATACATACACACTCACACATACACACACACACACACACACACACACACACACACACACACACACAGATACGTGAGCACACAGCTGCTCACATTCTGTCGCAATAAGTGCAGGAGACAACTGGGCCGACAGGTGCACGAATGAATAACAAAACATTTCGCTGCATACGTGAGTGTTTTAGTTTTAGTAAGCTTTTACTTTTACGGCGCTCGCAACTGCATAAAGTGACATGAGCGTCAAGGGGTGGATGTCAACAGAGAAGTCCATACAGGGAATCAGGCTTATTCTGCTCACCTCTCTCGCTTCAACAGCACAAAGTCTGCTTCGACTATCAAGGCACCCGGGAAATAGCGGGTCACAAGAGAGTGACAAACATAAAAAAGACGTAGAGGAAAAATGACGACAGTAAGGATTAGAAAAGAAAAAGTTGCAGTTCCCCGTATGCAGTTCAGGCACAGTTATGAGCATGACATTGATGAATCAGCCCATTTACAATTCTACTGTGCATAAGAACAGGTTAATTTCCCCCCTTTGGGAATGGCCTAAAGACACGTCAGTCAGTAGCACCGCACCGGGAGGTCCATCTACGAGTGTGTATACGCAGAAGAAACAACCAATAACGGAACCTTTCGCTTCAACATAATATGAGAGTGTGAGTACCACAGGTGCACGAATGAATAAAATAACATTTCGCTTTAGTTTTAGTAAGAGTTTTACGGCACTTGCAACACAATAAGGTCATATAAGTGCCGAAGATTAGAGGCGTTATAAGAGAGTAACAAACACAAACAAGTTTTAGTTTTAGTAGTGGTTTTACGGCACTCGCAACTGCATAAGGTCATATGAGCGCCAGAAGATTAGAGGTGTTACAAGAGAGTAACAAACATAAAAAGAAGAAGGGGAGATAAGGACGATAGATGTTTGATAGGAAAGAAGAAGCAAACCACACCAGATCAACCGCCAACCACCCACTGTAACAACATCTATGCGTATGTGTACAACAACTGTAACAACATCTATGCTTGTGTATATGACAGTTGCTACAACATGATATATATTATGAGCGTGTGTACGACAGTTGCATAAACATCTATGAGTGAGTGTACGCCAGATGCAACTACCAATCACACAACATTTCGCTACAACATCGGAGAGTGAGTGAATATGACATGCACGACATCTCCATGGGTCAGCATCTTACCCCTCGCCCTTGCCGGGTACTGGGGACATACCGTAGTGCGGTCAACGTTTTCCTTGAGATTTAGAGTTTTACGGCACTTGTTACACCAAAGAGGTCAT